ACTTCAATAATGGTCTTCTCATGCCCATGGGAGCTTCCTCTCGCTCCTATCTTTCTCCCATAATGGCCCCTCCTACTCCGATTTTCACCCGGAGGYCTATTTTTCACACGGGGTCACATTTGACTTCATTTTCTTGAGGGAGGTCAATCCGAGATTTTTTGGATTGCTCCCATGCTTCCCACTTGAGTTTTCTTTACTTTTTCTTTTACCTTTTGGCCTTCACGTTTGCTACCACTAGTGCTTGCACTAGTGGTGCTAATATTCTTTGTCGTCAAGATGTCGATCTTGACGGTGCACCTTCCCTTTATTATTTTCCCTCATGCGGTGCCACCGTTTCTTCTTGGGACTTTCACATGTCCCCTCCACTTATCCCGTCGGTGGTCCCTAGTACTTAGTTCCGCCAGTGGTCCCCGACACTCAGTCCCGAGGGTGGTCCCCGACACATTCGCCCCGGATGCCATTATTTTTACTTAGTCCCACGTGGCCCCAGGTACCTTTCCCCGAGGTGTCCCACGTCCCTTGGGCGTTTTGCCGCCCATGGCGACCCCTCTCCCTTGTCTTTTCTTGCGCCTTGTGCGCGCCAATTTCTTTGGTCATGGGCCCCACGTTGGCCCCTCATTCTTTAGCTTCCCACGGCCCCGGGGTCATCCAACTCTCGACTTCCTCATTCTTTTATCCCTGTCGTGCTGCATTTGCTGGTTCAAGGGTTATTTGGCCTTAGTTTTTATTGCATTCCAACGACCGTCCTCGCCTCATGCTACGTCTTATATGCCCCTGCTCCTACGCTTATTCTCGTGCCGTTGCTGGTTTTCTCCTCCTATGGTTTTCACCCCAGTACATCACTCCCTCCTGTGGCCTAATCTTTTGTCTTTTCTCTCTCCTGCCGCCTCACTCCAGATTTCTCTGTTGTGCACAGTTCGTCCGTATTCAGTCTCTTGAGTGATGGGAAGTTATTCCGGACTCACCAGTCCCGACACCGGCTTCCGAAAAAAAAAAAAAAAAATACAAACGCCTTAAAGGTGAACCGGGCTTGGTGGGGATGGGGTGCTATATGGGTGGGTTAGTCAGGCCCCTAAGGGCCCTAAGAGGTGTAAACGCGGGTAACAGCAAAGTTGGGCAAACCGAACTTCCAAAAAAAAAAAAAAAAAACAAAGGGATCCTAAATTCTTAGAGGTTTTGTGGGCTTGGGGGTTGGGGTAACGAGGGGCCAAGAGCCCTAAGGGGTGCAAAAGCGGGAAACGGTAAACCCGACTCCCCCCACCCCCCAAAAAAAAAAACAAACGGCGTAAAGGTGGACCGGGCTTGGTGGGGATGGGGTGCTATATGGGTAGGTTAGTCAGGTCCCTAAGGGCCCTAAAGGGTGTAAACGCGAAAAATTGCAAAGTTGGGCAAACCCAACTTCCAAAAAAAAATAATAAAAAATAAAAGGTTTCTAAATTCTTAAAGGTTTTGTGGACTTGGGGGGTGGGGTAACGAGGGGCCAAGAGCCCTAAGGGTTGCATAGCGGAAAACGGTAAACCCAGCTTCCCCAAAAAAAAATAAAAAATACAAACGACTTGAAGGTGCACCAGGCTTGGTGGGGATGGGGTGCTATATGGGTGGGTTAGTTCGGCCCCTAAGGGCCCTAAGGGGTGTAAACGCGGGAAACTGCAAAGTTGGGCAAACCCAACTTCCAAAAAAAAAAAAAAAAAAGGTGGTTCCTAAATTCTTAGAGGTTTTGTGAGCTTGGAGGGTGGGGTAACGAGGGGCTAAGAGCCCTGAGGGGTGCAAAAGCGGGAAACGGTAAACTCGGCTTCCCCCCCCCAAAAAAAAAATACAAACGTTTTGAAGGTCGATCGGGCTTGGTGGGGATAGGGTGCTATATGGGTGGGTTAGTCAGGCCCCTAAGGGCTCTAAGAGGTGTAAACGTGGGAAACTGCAAAGTTGGGCAAACCCAACTTCCAAAAAAAAAAAAAAAAAAAAGGGCTTAAAGCTTTTGTGGGTTTGGTGGGGAAGGGGTAGAGACCGTAGCGGCCATGCGTGGGTAGGAATTGAAGGTGTGGAAAAGCAGTAAGTGGTTTGCTTTTTTATTTTTGTTTTTGTTTTGCTATTGTCATTTTGTGCTTTGTCCTTGTCATTCAGTCCTACTGCTTCACCATCGATTCATTTATTTGAAGTCACTGCTGTCTATCGTGATGCATGTACGCTTCGTGGCATTTCGCTATCACACTCAGTGGTTGTGACAACATGTCGCGGAATGCTGGCAAGGAGCATGTGGCCCCCGACCAGGCCACGGTGACAAATGAGAGTGGTACAAGAAAGGGACACAACTCAAAAACTTTTAATTCTCCATTCAAGATTGATCCTGTTGTGGATGTCAAACGCGACGACCCCGTGTGGCATTTTGTTGCACGTGGCCGATACTTGTGCCCGGAGACGGCGGTGGGGAGGAAGAGTGGTCGGCGATGTATCTGCAGATTGTACGGTAAATCCATTTGTGGGGGAGGTAGAGAAACAAAGGAACATTTCTTCAAAAGCAAGGAGTTCAGATCCCCGACGGGACTCCTGCTGTGTATTACAACATAAGAGCGAAGAACATGGACAAGTGTCTGAAGGAGTTTGTTGCCTCAATTGAGGAGTTGAAGAGGTTCCCTCTTGGTGCCCCAGCATTCCAGTGGCCGACACTTTCATTACCCGAGGCCCTGGAGCCTCGCCGGTCGCTTGCTAGTGAGGCAGGGCCGGTAGTTACACCGTCTCGACCTGCAGTCGGCACACCGGTTCCGGCACCTGTGGCGGGAGGACCATCGGCCGGTGTAGTCCCACCAGTGATACTTGGATGGACCGTGGTGCCGTCGGTGGAGGGACCGAGTACTTCGGCTGGACTGCATCCTATGTTCACGATTGTCGCGGCCATAGCATCGCTTGCCCCGAGAGTACCTCTTGCGGTTGTCCGAGGTACAGCCGCGGCAACCACGTTTTGGTGGTCTCCACCTCGACCTCACGCTCAGCTCCTTCTTTGGCAGCGGCTGACTGCCGGGCGGCACAGGGCACATGCGCGGTACCCACGTCCCGGTGGTTTCCTCCTCGTCCTCCGCGTCCAGCTGCCCCTTCGAGAGGGACTCACTCCCATCTACCATCATACCAGGACGTACAGGGGACTGCGGCTCACACGCATCCACCATCGACTCAGGCGGCAGAGGGCGCGGGTCCGCCTCCACCGATTCCTGTGTCTGATTCCTCGCCCACTCAAGCTGCCAAGACTGCCCCCACATTCGCTGGTGTCCTCACGGAGCACTTGGATCCCATGGAGCGGCTACGCAACATTCCACTCCCACAGGCCGCCACACCAGCGAGTCCAGTCGGTTTGTTTGACATGAGTGGCTCTGGCACGGTCGCACGAGGGAGTGGCACACGAGGGAGTGGCACATACAAGCAGCTGGCAGTCACCTCATATTATTCTGACCCTAGAGAGCGTGCATGGCACATGACGATCATGCGGTTCATCGTGGAGAGCGGCATGCCATTTAACTGCGTGAAGCTTGAAAGCTTCAGACGTATGTTCACAGTCATCATCCCTCCTGGGGTCCCCGGGGCTCCCATGCCTAAACCCCCGACTTATTACATGGTTCACACGACGTTGTTGGGCGAGCTGGATGCAGAGGTGCAGCGATGTGTGAGACCGGTGCTCGATACCTCGCGTCAGAGTGGTTGCACTATTATGACAGATGGTTGGACAAACATCCGTGGTTAGACATTGTGCAACTACCTTGTCGGTACAAAGAGGGGACCCGCATATCTTGCCACTGATGTCATGCGGGGGAAGAAGGATGCGGCAGCATTGGCAAAGGCATGGTTGCACAGGCTGAAGACCCTCGATATCCAGCTCAACGACATCACGACATTCGTCACGGATTCCGCGGGTGTGAACGTGTCCGCCATGCAGATATTCGAAGAAGACGAAAGCGTCAAACACATTTTCTGGATTCCGTGCGTGGCACATGTTATGGACCTTATCCTGGAGGACATCGGGTCGATTGGTTGGGTGGCATCACCCATTGCTCAGGCACGGCTCGTTACCAAGTTTTTCAATCGCCACAATCACACACGTGAGGCTTTGGAGACGAAGACGAAATTGAAGTTGTTGCTGCCCACAAAGACACGTTTCAGCACCAACGTCATCATGATGAGGAGATTGTTGGATAAGCAGACCCATCTCATGCAGGTTGTTACCGAGGACCCGTGGCGCAACACTGTTTGGGCCACGCGGAAGGTCGGCCAGGATGTCGCCGAGATCACAGCATGTGCGGGGTCTCCTCCATGGCGGGAGGATTTGAGGCGATTGTGTAGGTTCATGAACCCAGTGATGGACATGCTGCAGATGCTGGACAGTAACATACGGCAGATCAGCAAGGTTCTGCGTCGGTATGAGATAATGATCGCATCCTGTCTTACCCCGTGCGACTCCCTCACCACGTCAAAGCAGGATGAGATCCTTGAGGTTTTCGACGGGCGGCGCACCATGTTCCGTACTCCGGCGCACATAGCGGCCATGATGCTGGATCTTGAGGTTCGGAACACCACCCTGCCGGACGACGATGTGATGCAGCAGGGGTTGGTTGCCGCTTTGGTTCAGTTTGACTACCCCGAGCGATCTCCGCAGCACATCGAGGTGCTCACTGCGATCGACAAGTTTCATGCAAGGGAGAGACCTTTCGATAATGCTACGATGGATAGAGCGATGAGGAGCTACGAGCACCCGTCCAGTTTTTGGGAATCGAAGTCGCGCAGTTTTCCACACACTGCATACTTCGCCATGAGGATCTTGCGGGTTTGGATGACAGCGTCGCCCTGTGAGAGAGCTTAGTCCCGTTGGAGTTTCATCCACTCGAAGACTCGCAACAGGTTGAAGGTTGGACGGGCCGAAAAGCTCGTGCGGTGCCATTGGAACCTCCGTCTTCCCGACCGTCCATCTCTGACCGAAGACGCTCCTCATGACAGACCCGATCAATTCGGGAAGTGGGTACACTATTGGCAGCATTTGGAGGACGAGTTGCCCACTAACCAGCATCTTGTTGGGGGGAGCGGAGCGAGATTGGCAGCCACACAGGAGGAGATGCGTGTGGTGAGGGAACGGATGCGTAATGTTTCTCGCATGGGCACCGAGCGCCGCCTTGTCCAATCGGACAAGAGACGACGTGGACGCGTTCGGGGTCACGGCGGGCGTGGTGGGCGGGGGGACGTTGTGGTCGTGGACGAGGTGGGCGCGGGGGATGTGGACGTGGATCAGGCGTGATGAGGCGTGATGAGGCGGAGGTCGACCTTGTTCGTTTCCCTCGACAGCATTGGGACGGGGGAGATTTTTTGTATCACATCTCCAATAGTGACGACGAGGATTTCTTCTGTACCGTCATGTCGGGAGCCGAAGACGACGACGGCAGGCCGGACGACGACCGTTCCGATGATGACGACGGTGATGATGGAGCGGGCGACGGTCGTGGTCCTCGATCGCTGAGACGGGGTAATGGCACTGGTGGAAGAGTTGTTGTTGCACCACGAGATGCAGTAGGTGATGGTGGAGGATTAGACGTTGTCGACGGTGGAGGCGGCGCACAGGAAGAGGACACCGAAGCATCGCTGAAGGATACGTGTACGGACGTGGCTATGGACGTCGAGCAGCATGCGGGCGTGCACGTTATCGACAGCATCACGACGGAGGCAGCAGGAGTGGACACGCTAGTCCCCCGCATGGCTCGAGACCTCGCCTCATACGCTTGCGGCACGGGCCGAAGAGGACGCATTCGATTGTCGATCGTGTGCGGCAACGCCACGGGACCCTCCCCCCCATCGTTCGTCCACGAGCCGATGGTCTAAGTTTATCCCTGTTTCCGAGGACTCCATGAGTGATGGGCCCGTCGATGAGCAACAACCGTCACCCGCCGGCTTGGTGCGGGAGACACATCTGGCTGCCGATGCGGCACAGGAGGACGCACGTCCTGTTCATGGCGCAGAGCAGGACGCAGTTGCATTTCCACGCAGTCTAGTGCTTGGTGGTGGTACGGACGAGGCCGGCATGTGCATGGAGGTGATGGAGGCTATGTCCTTAGGATGTCCCACTGCACCGATGACGAACATAGATCATCGCGCCGTACAGGCGAGTGGACTACCAGACACAAATGTTGCAGGAGTGTCTACCATCAAACGGTCGGGACATGTGCAGGGACCGCCCGGGCGCGCATCCGTCGACATGCTTCCCCACACAGTTATTCCCCATTTGGAGGATGGCGAGATCACCCCAGCGACAGTGGGCCTAGGACACGGGGATGTTCACCTCTCTCACCCCACCGGCAGTCTTCCTCGAACTGCTGACCTCCTCTCCATAGGTTTAACATTCGACGCGCTACCCAACATCCGCACCCTCATTTCACCTTCATTGCCGGACGTGTGACCCCTTGCCCCGATGGTGGGAGCACCCTTGACGCAAGAGACGAGGATGTCGGCCTCGCGTGCCCCGAAGGGAGTCTTCCTCTCATAGGCGACATGGTGGGCATGGGCATGACGCTCGACGGCATCTTTGGTGCAGACACGCTTATTCCACCATCGTTGCCGCTCGCACCGCCCCGTGGCCTCGAGGGTGGGCCCGCCCGCCCCGTAGGAGACAAAGGGTTTGACGAGTTCGATGGAGATATGATATTGTCTGCCATGCCCTCTGCGACACCATCCGTATTTCAGGTGGGGAAACCCCACGAGGTCGCTCTAGGCTTGGCCTAGACCACGACATGCCACAGAGGTCTGCCACATACGAGGGACGGGCGTAGCTCCGCACACCGCAGCCTCGCTGACTCTTTGGACGGAGTGTCTTCTGACAGCGGCGCGCGACAGGGTGCGTCATTGGGTGGACTTGGAGAGGATCCTTGTGTGGGAGCACCATCGACGACCACGGGTGGAGAGGGTCGATCAGGACAACCTCCGACCAGTGCGGGCCACGCAGAGCCTACGAAGTACGTTACACCAGCTTCGTCGGTTGTCGATCGCACTGGTGACAGACCTACCACGCGCATGGATTCTGCACCATATGAGGCATGGAGGGGCGGTAGGGAGGAGCAGCAGGGAGGAGCTCATGCGGGGGGGTTTGGCCCACCTGTGTAAGGGTTGGCAGCATCGTCTTTTTACGACCGGGGGATAGCAACACTAGTCAATGGCAGAACCGCGACAGGGAGGAGCGCATGCGGTAGGGTCGATCAGGACAACCTCCGACCAGTGCGGGCCACGCAGAGCCTGCGAAGGACGTTACACAAGCTTCGTCGGTTGCTGGTCGCACAGGTGACAGGCCTACCACGCTCATGGATTCTGCACCACATGAGGCATGAGGGGCGGTAGGGAGGAGCGGCAGGGAGGAGCTCATGCGTAGGGGGTATGACCCACCTGTGTCAGGGTATGCAGCATCGTGTTTTTGCGACCGGGGGATAGCAGCACTAGTCGATGGCAGAACCGCGACAGGGAGGAGCGCATGCGGTATGACAGATGTGCCATTTGGAACACGTTCCATCGGCGCTGTCGACAGTCGTTGCCATGGAACGATGCGCGAGTACGAGGACCAGCATGGCAGACGGCTGGCCACGAAGACATCAGATGTTGCCTTCACCAGGGTGGTGAAGGCTTGTATGTTGCAAGCAAGGAATAAGGGCGGACACGGGAAGTCTTCACAGCATTGGATTCGTCGTGGCACCGCACCCAGGGAGTCGGTGCATGGTCACACTCAGGACGAGGAGGTTGTTGCACATGGTGGTGGACTGGAGGACAGACAGCCAGGTGACGGAGGTGGTTCACGCAGATTGTCACGTGTGCATGACGGCTCCGGCACCGCAGCGGACGAGCGACGCAACCATGCCGAGGGGGCTGGTCGTGGGGAGAAGAGACGAGGTGTTTTCACCATTGTACACGATGACAGTTCTGACAACCCGACTGGCGAGTTGGCGGGGGTCGACGACCCGGGTGACTCCGATTATAGACCGGATGAATCTCGACCTGCACGCCTGGCGTATGGATCTCGACCTGCACGCATGGCGCATGGATCTCGACCAGCACGCATGGCGGATGGATCTGATCCTGGAGGACGTCGACTCAGATGCAACGCAACACTCGATGCACAAGGACATCTAACTCCTTCGACTCTAGAACCATTCGTCCCCCGGCCCCCGGTTGACAGAGGCAAACAGCCTCGTACAGTCCTACTGGCAATAGAGGCTCGGCGACTTCAGAGACAGACCCCTGCATTCCCGCGTCGTGATGGGACTGACGATCAGAGAGAGAGGCAGACAGTCAGAGACATAGGGGGAGTGATRGGGGGGGGGATAGGGGATGATGGAGGCGGGGAGGAGGGGRGGGGGGGGCTTGGGAGTGAGAGAGAGAGTGAGAGAGAGAGAAAGTAGTTTCCTACATGGGCATATCTATTTTTGTTGGGCCCATTGTATTTTTGTTGTGTTTGAGAGAGAGAGTGGTCTTCTACATGGGCATCGTCACCATCGAGCTTTCGGCGTGGAGTTTGGCCCTTTGTATTTTTGTTGTGTTTGAGGTTCATATGCTCGCTCACTGTACTCTCTATGTTCGGGTTGCGGCCTTAGAGGAGTAGCATTGTAGGCACTTTGTTTCTGTTCTGTCTGAGGTTCATATGCTCGCTGCCTGTACTCTCTATGTTTGGGTAGCACTTTTTATGTTGTAGGATACTTCAGGGATAATGTTATTTGCAACTTTGCGCACTGTCGCTCACATTGTTCCATCTTGTCTCATTTGGATTTTCATTGTATGCAGTTCCATTGTGGCATTGTCTACTATTGAGTGCATTCGTTCTTGTTCAAATCACACTATGAGTTGTTCTTGACTTTGTTTTATGTTAGTAATCCGTAGGGAACCCATTGATGCGGAAACTGCGGTGGTATCATTGGTATGACTCATGCACATGTTTGATGTTAGTGATAAATTGATAATGAAGAACCTATTGATGCTTGATTCTGTTTGTCATTAAATCACTAGTATTTACTGTAAAAACTACTACTAAGTGTAGAAATTAATAATAACTGCAGTCAGAGTCTGTATGACTAATAATAGTGTGCAAATGATGGTGATCATTGATCTATAAAGACTATAATCCTTGATGTTCTGATTTTTTTTTTTTTTGCTTTCATTTTGTATATCTTGCATAATATGTTTGTGTAAGTTAAACACAGTTTAAGTAACCATGCATTATGAAACCCCAATTGACTCGTGAATCGTGATATGCAAACCTGCGCAAATGCTTGTCTAATGCACTCTGTAATATGAACGTTAAAATTTATAACAACAACTGCCAGTCTGCCACACTGGTGCGTACCATTGGGCCTTCGACCCTTGGCTAACAACTAGTGACAAGAGTACGGACTGTACGGTGGATAAGATTCATAAGAAAACTTAACCTAAATTAAATTTCTGAAACAAAGAAAAAGGAACAACGTGCATAGCCTTGGATGCAACGTGCATAATGCCACAACAACCCTGCAAAGGCATGACTGCGTGAAACCCCTGCCCCCCCCCGTCCAGAGCACCCTTGCCCTGACAGTGCTGACAGCCTGACACTGTCACACACCCCTCTGCCGCTCTCCGGGCCTCCGGGAAGTTCGCGCTATGCCAAACAAAAAAGTAGGTGGTTTGCGAAATTCCGCCACCCACCCCGGTCCTCCGGCTCCTGCCCCCAACCGCAGGCCGCACACCCACCAAGGTCCAAGGCCATCAGCAGGTCCAGCAGGAACAGCACACCCCGCCTCACGGCCCACACACGTCCACCAACTTGCACCGAGTCACCGACCCCCAGCTGTCAACAGCCCACACCGGTTGTGTCGTGCCACAGCAGCCCTACACTGCCTCAACCCCCCCCCCCGCTCCGTCGAGAGGGCCCTTGCCCTGACAGGCTAATACACCCCTCCGCCGCCCTCCGGGCCTCCAGGGAATTCACGCCCGGTACCCCATCCGCCCAGCGCCCCAGCTCACCCAAGCCCCAACCCCGACCCACAGCGCCCGCCCCCAGCACCCCGCCGCATGGGACCCCCCGGCCCCGACTCCCGGCACCAGCCCCCGGTACACCAGCCCCGCGAGGACCACCGGCCCCGAACCCCGCCCCGCAGGCAACCCCGAACCCCGCCCCGGTGGCAACCTCGACCCCGGTACACCGACCCCGTGAGGACCACCGGCCCCGAACCCCGCCCCGTAGGCAACCCCGACCCCCGACCCCCGACCCGGCCTGCCGACCCCCGCCGACCACCGGCCCCTCACCCCGACAAACCCCGCCCAACCCCGCGCCCCGGCGAAACCCCGACCACCCGCACCCCGGCGGAACCCCGCTCACCCGCACCTCGGCCCCGGCCCCGATGCCGAAACCGACCACCACGACCCCGGCCCCGGCGAACCCCGACGCAGACCCTGAGGCCCGCGCCCCACACCCACACATCCCCGACCCTGACCCACCGCAGTCGACCCCGACCACCGCCGAAAGAGCTCGCCAGTGGGGGGGGGGCACCCCGGCGGGGTGGCCCAGGGAGGCACTTTTCTGCAAAATAGCAGAAATCGCTAGGGGGTGCCCGACAACGGTGCGCACCCCCCCCGATTTTATTTTATTTTATTTTATTTTATTTTATTTTTTATTTCATTTTTTCACCCCTCCCGGTCCGAGGTCAAGGGACCACCGCACCGGACCCCCGGGGTCGTGGCCGTGACAACCCTGACTCAGGGGCTCAGAGGTCTAGTCAGGACCACCGTCCGATTTTGCCTTTCTTTGAACATGGCCATGACACCCAGCACTCAACAAGCTCTCTCTCCCCCAATTGCTGTATCTCAACAATTTGTCCATGCAAACTCATAGCACACTTCCATCCAACTGGGACCTTGGATGTCCCACAGATTCACGTACGCATACGCATGCTTGTTGTTCCTCATGCTTCTTCATAACCACTAGCAACCCGCCGTCCGTGCCTGTTTGCCACCTGTGAGGACTCATGCTTACTACCTAGCACGCCTAATTATAGCCTGCTAGTGCCCAACTGTCCGGTCTGCGGCTCACGCCACCTTGTGCCTGCGCACTGATGTGGTGCCAATGTTGTGTTCCTAGTGGTTCGCAGCCACTTTGTAATGAGCCAGCCCCAATGGCTACGTTTGCCCAGGTTGTAACAACCTTTGTCCTGGTTTCAATTATCTGACGCAGCGACTCCTTCTAGAAAGACCCAGGACGCAGCCCCAGTTTGCACTTTGACCAACTAGTGTGGAGCAACTGTCTGATACCCTTATTGGAAAATGCGGGGGCAAGCGCTTTTAGCAGATATTCAGGCCTGTCTTTCACTTAGGGCGGGCACGAGGCCGACTGGAATCACAAGCCACCAGAATAATAATAACAACAGTAGTAGTCATAATAATAATAATAATAATAATAATAATAATAATAATAATAATAATAATAATAGTAATAATAATAATAAAAAATAATAATAAGGAATATGAGTGTGAACGGTATATAGGAAAACCAAGTTGCGAAATCACACGAATGCCCGAGTAGAGGAGTATAGGTAGAGCGCATTAGCCCTTAGAATCCATCAAAATAGGGCAACACAAGGAACAACGAGCCAACGCTCGCGACCATGGGCCCCATCAGCACATCATTCAAGGTTGCTTTTATCTGTCTGGCTCCCAGCGCTCCGGCGTATCTGTGTAAGTGTGTTGCTATGTATGTACGATTGCTGCCGCGACTGCGTAACTGTGTGTCTGTGCATGACCATTGCCTGTTTGTCTTTTTCTCAGTCTTGCTGGTCCCTGTCCGTGTCTCTCCCCGTGCGTGTCACAGCGTATATGCGTCACCGAGTATGTATTACTGTGACTGTGTCACTGTTCAACCGTGTGACACAGAGGACCTGTATTATCTGCGTATGAGTTGCTGCGACCGTTTACCCTATGACTATCTCACCGTGAGACTGTGTCTGTCACAGTGTATCCGTATGTCCCAGCGTCTGCGTCAACGGGACTGTGTGTCGTCACTAGGTTTGTATTAATGTGTGACTTTCACAGCTTGACCACGTCACCTCGTGACCGAGTGTAGGTGTTTCTGTGACCATGTCACACTGCCTGTGCGAGCATTCAGTTTCGTCTGTGTACGTGCCTCTTTCCATCTGTGTGTGTGACTATGACCGTGCGTGTGTCACAGCGTGACTATGTATTTGAGTGTGTGTTACTGCGTCTGCGTGTGCACGGTGTCACTGTGTGTGTTCTCACTATGCTCTGTGTCTGTCTGTTTTCATTTGAATTTGTCTGTGTCAAACCATTTGTCAGATATTTCATTTGTCTGTACCAGGTTGTTCTGTTTGATTCTGTATTTCGCTTGTCCGTTGTCTGATACAGTTTTGTTGATGTCTGTCTGTTTACCCGTTGGTCTCTGTTTTGATTTTCTGCTGATGTCTATCTGCTTGTCTGCTAAGTCTCTGTTTGTCTTTCCATGGATGCCTGTCTGCTTGTCTGTCTGTTTGTCTCCATCAGACTGTCTGTTTTGTCTCCTTGCGTCCGCATATTCTGTTCGTCTGTCCAATCTGCCTGTTTATCTGACCGATCGACAGTGTTCGCCTGTGTCTGCCCGTGTATCTGTGTATCTGAGTATCAGACTGTGTATGACTGTGTATGATTGTGCATGACTGTGTATTTGTGCATGACTGTGTATCTGTGAGTATCTGGCTGGTTTGTCTGCTAGTCTGTTTCTGTCTGTTCGCCTGGTCTTGTCTTTTGTTTGTCTCTCTGTCTTTTCCCCTCTCCGGTGTACGTGTAGTAAGTAGTGTGTGGGGTATCCAGGGTGACCCTGTGCATGCGAACAAAGTTGTTGGGCGTTGTTGCTCCATAGTCATCCGAAGTGAGCTTGTATTCAAACCGAGTTCTGAGTAGCCATATCTCCGAGCTTTGTGTTTGGGCGCTCGTTGCCAGTTTGGTGGGACGCCTGTTCGCATGCAGAGAAAAACAGCAAGTTCGATTGCAGAGATAAACTAATACTAACAATAATAATAAAAATAATAATAATGAACTTTGGAATTCAGCATCATACTCGTAACTTTGAACCAAGAGCAAAATTGCATCACGGTTACCAAATAGGATCACAGCAATAGCTCAGATCCGACAACGCTGGTATAGTCTCATCACCATCATCACAGAACCAATGTTGCCATCCTACCTGTGCAAGGAGGATGAGCAATAGCGAACTTCATACCTCCAAAGCACCATACACAATTTACCAGATAATCGTGGCCTTGAACCAGAAGCAGAATAGCATTGCGAAATTCACCAAATAAGAGCACAACAAAGGTTCACGATTGACAACGCTGGTATCGTCTCATCGTCATCAACGCTGAACCAATGTTGACATCCTATCTGGCGCCTATTGCTACAATTCCGAATGACGACGACAACAGTTCTTTCGAAGTATGAACAGATAGCGGTCAATGCCGCTGTCATGTTCCCATGCGGTCAAGGGCAGTTATCAGAAATAATAATAATAATAATAATAATAATAATATAATAAATGCAAGGAAAATATGCAATAGCGAGATGACAATTCCAGAATACAGCATCATTTTCTTTGAAAGCCAGATAGTCACATCGTGTTAAGAGAGCAACATTGCACCAATAATACGCCTATAGAGGTTCGTAGCACTGAAAACCGATGTCACGAGCGCATACTCTCTCCACCCCAACACAAGAGTCCAGTCCCTTCACCCTCCTACTGGCGCTCAGTGCCCAACCTACTCCTACACAGCTACTACAGCCTACGAATTGACAATGCAACTATTAACATCAGCTGCAACCCGAAGTACTTGAAGATGTCACCCATGCAGACCATCACCAATACAAGGTAAGTGCCCTCACATCATCGTCATCATCATCAAAGAACCAACATCGATATCCTACCTGGGCCGGCACCCAGACTACAGATGGAAGATCCTACCTAGCC